ATTTACAGCTAGCATGTAGGAATATAATTGATCTTCATTAATTTATCACCTATCTTTACCTTATCTCTCTTTTTTTTTTACTTCCATGGACTTTATAGATATATAATGATACACTAATACTTATCTGAATAGTATGGATGCACTAATTTAATCAGTTTCTGGTTGATACAATTGATATGGCAACAACGTTTTCACTATTATCAGCAATACTATTCTTGACTAGTGATTGCCAAGAAAGCTTTAATAATTACCCTTCCATCTTCAGGGAGCAGAACTGTCTGTTTTCCCAAACCTTTGCCAACATAATGATAGAGGAAATGAATCTTTAAAGAATGGAAAGCCAATTTTTGGATTACATAAACAAAACAAAGCAAATAAAAATTGATCACTATTAACAAGAAATAATCACTGCCAAAAGTTTGATGACTATCTAAATCTATACTTATAACTAAAACTATATATTCATTCATTCCCTTCTTATTTCTTTATACAAAAATTGGGTCAATTTGTAGAAACTGTTTTAAGACCCTCTGTAAAGGATTATTTGATTGTATAACCATGACTATCTTAATTTGTCCTTACATATTTGTTTTGGTTATCTAGTGCCACTCTGACAGGAATATACCACAAATGGGATGGCTTGAACAAACAGGAGTTTATTCTCTCACAGTTTGAAAGCTTTAAGTCCAAGTTCAAAGTGCCAGGCTCTAGGGGCTGGGTGAAAGCCCCTCAACCTTGAGCTTCAGCTTTGCCTCCTGATCCCAATCTACTAGAGCTAGAGGTTTTCTTCACTCAGACAGCTGCTAGCTGCTGAGACTGCCAAGCCCAAGGTTGACAAGTAAAAAGGTACAGTCCTGATGTTACCAAACCACACAGCATGCCATTAATTCACGTCCATTGTAAGTCTCAGTACTGGCGGAGCATGGCAGGTGCTGAACAACGGGAATGACACAGCTACATGCAGGGTTCAAGCATGCCACAAGCTAGAGACCATTCCCCAAGGCTTCTCCTTATATACAGGAAGAAGACCACATTCCTAAAGCTACTACTCAGCTGCTCCAATAGATTCCACCATGGAGCTGATTACCAGTCTCATCATGGGGAATACTACATCCAGCTGCCCAGCCACTCAACCAGGCCCAGCCAAGTTGACACACAAACTTACCTGCCACAATATTATTCTATACTATCAACATTATTGAGTGAATAGTATTTCATCATTTGAATGTACTGGAGAATGATAGAAGGTTGAAGATAGAATCATAGAACAAGAACATCTTAGAGCCTAAACTGAAGAGATGGTTCAGGAAAGGGAAAATCATGGCAGTGGATGAAGTAGCAGTAGAGAACATGGGCTGTGGTGTCAACTTTCCTTTCTTCACATCCTACTGGTTGTGAGATCACCAGCCAGGTTTTAACCTCTCCATGTCAAAGGTCGCTTACCTATAAAATGGGATGATAGTATGCACAAAGCACATGGGGGTGACATCCTCCTCTGACCTCCTCTAACTTCATGAGAGGGAGAGATAATCACCATCAGCAGCCTGAGGCTTATTCCTATGAGACCAGGTGTGCTGCCACCCTTTAACCTTTTTACCAATTCTGACACCAACTGTCCCTGCCACAGCCCTGATTACTTCTCTGCTGGGTTCAGTAATTTATTGCAATGGCCACATAGAACTAACAGACAATTCTTATAATTATGGTGTTTATTAGGGAAGTAACAGGTTATAATTCAGGTTCAGGAATGCACTGGATACAATTCTTTGATAGTACAGCCTCCCTCAGCGATGCCCAAAGGTATGCCTCTCTTTGGTGTTTGGTTTCTTGGCCTGACAGATGCCTTGCTTAGGCAAGCCTTACAAAGCTCTTTTAGCTCTGCCAAAGGTGCACCCACTCCACCAGCAATCCTCCTGCCCAGAGGCACTTAGCTTTCTCACTCCATGGGCCAGCAAGCCCACAGCTTGGTCTTGTCCTGGTCTCTCAGATCTGCTGCTTCTGCTGCTGCCATCTCTCAGCTGGTCTCTCTACCAAGGAGGTCCAGCACTGGGATCTCTGCCCAAGCACATGCTCCACTCCAAGTCCAGCTCTTCTGTCTTAATGGCAGTGATATCCCCCCTTTCCCCATCTGGGAGAGCTCATTCTAAATCTAACAGAATGACACAACTAACTAATCCCCACATTAGATTTCCATATACCTTATTTGCATGCTTCCACTTCCACAAGAGCACCCTGCACCTTATTTACATTATTAGCAAACTATCCAATCCCCTTGGCTGACCATAAGCACCTCATGTTTACATAGTTCCTCCTAGTCATCTGGGAGAAGTCACAAAGACCATGGCTAGAAGAGCCATACCAAATAATTCATTGCACCTCATTGCAGTTGTCGTTGTTATGTGCCATCGAGTTGGACTCAACTCATAGCGACCCCTCCTTGGGTTTCTGAGGCAGTATCACTACGGAAGTAGATTGTCCAACTTTCTTTCTGAAGAGTTGCTGGTGGATTTGAACCTCCAGCCTGCTGGTTAGCAGTCAGTCAAGTGCCTTAGGCACTACACTACCAGAGCTCCTATTGCACCCCATGTTGTTGTTGTTGTTTGCCATCGAGTCGGCCCCAACTCATAGCGACCCCTCCTTGGGTTTCTGAGGCAGTATCACTACGGAAGTAGGATTGCCCAACCTTCCTTCTGAGGAGTG